CACCATGCCTACGTCACTCACCTCACTTCATCTCATCATGTAGGCACTGTACCATCTCACATCATCATGAGAAGGGTGAGAGTGCAGTAAGATATTCTGACAGAGAGAGATACCACATTCACATAACTTTTATTATAATATATTGTTATAATTACTCTGGTATTGGTTATTGTTGTTAATCTCTTACTCTACCTAATTTCTAAATTAAACTTTATTATTGATATGTATAGGAAAAAACATAGTATAATATAACAGGTCCTCAAATAACACTGTTTCATTATAATGTTGATGACATGCTATAGAAATTTAACTCTTGTTTATATCAATTAGGCTATGATAAAATTAGTCTGCTATATGTCATTTCACTTAAAGTCATAGAACCTATCAATAACATTAAGTGAGAACTTACACACAGGGTTTGCCATTACCAGGGGTTTCAGGCAACCTATGGGGGTGTTGGAACAAATCCCCTGCAAATACAGGGAGACTGTGCATTGCAAACTTTCTACACCAAAAGTTTATTCTGAACTCATGTGAATTTTACTGAGAGCAAGTATACACATTTCCTCTTTTAGGGTTACCTATTTTAGTATAATTTACCCACTGTCTCTCATCCTAGAATCAACATGTTTTCATGTCTGTATCTTTCCTTTCTAACAGTGTAACTCACGGATATCAATTAATTCATTCGTTAATCAAAAATGTATTCATTAATCTGTATTTATTGAGTACCTACTATTTGCCTCCTTTATGAAACCTGGTCCAAATATGTAGTTACATATTCCACCTTTTGCTGTAGGGTAATCAAATTTCCTTGTTTTTCTTCCCCATCACTAAAAATAAGCATTGCATTTATGTATGATCAACCAACACAGCAGTTTTCAAAATTGAAAAGTGAGCCAACAGTTAGTTGGCCTTTTTATCAAATTGCAAAGTGTTCTCATGGAAAATCAACTAGGTCAAAATTACTCAATTGGTATGAAATGTGCAGTTCAAGGTCATGAAAATAGGATTAACAGTCTCCCACAGTAAACCTTTACAATAGGGTTACAATGGTCTTATTTAAAATACAAAATCAAGAGTAAAAACTACTTTTATAAATTCATATGCTTAACCTGAGGAACAATCATAATATCTAACAGAGGGGGTCAAACTCATTTTCACCTGGGCCACATCAGCCTCCCAGTTGCCTTCAAAGGGCCAAATGTAATTTTAGGACTGTATAAATGTAACTACTCTTTAACTAGGGGCAAGGAGCTTGGCGCTGCTGGGTAGAAACAAGGTGCTGGGCTGGATAAAACAAGGTGGAGGGCCAGATTCAGCCTGTGGGCTTTGTGTTTGCCACCTGTGATCTAACAAAATGATTAGGTATATTTGAAAAAGCAATAACCTACAACCTTAAAGATGTACAACTATAACCATGTATCATCAAATAAACAAACAATTAAGCCACAGTTTCCACACTCCATATTGTATGGGAATAACCTTGCCAAATCTACTTGATGAGGTTGTTGGAATCATCAAATAAGATACTGTATTTGAATGGTTTTATGAACTATAAAGTTCTAAACAAACTTATATACTTGTAAAAATGGATTTCTTCAGCTCTCCTTAAAAATATAATCTGTATAAAAATGCTCCCTAATTAAAAATATTCTAATTCTCAGGTTAGGAGCACAAAACTGCTCTCCTCACACTGTTACTACTGCTGGAACTTGACTCCTTCCCTCCAAGTCTGAGATAACACTCCACCACATTCAAACGCAAGCCCCTAATTAAAAACTCCTGGGTGGCTACAGTAAAATGTTAGAAAACAGCTCTCAACCCAAGAATTTTTGTAGTTAGTTAAAATAAACTGGGACTAATTCAATGCAATAAAAACTGGAGTTATATATCTAGCAAAACTAAAACAGCAGAGTATGTGCAAATAGCTCTAGACATCTATGAAAACTAAAAATAAATAGAAAGACTAATACTTTTTAAAGCAAAGGACCATAAACTTCAACAGAAAAGAATATATGCACCCCCCTATGTTCAATGCAGCGTTATTTACAACAGTCAAAATCTGGCAGCAGTCCACGTGCCCATCAGTAAATAAGTGGATGAAAAAGCTGTGGTACATTTACACAATGGAATATTACTTGGCAGTAAAAAGAAGGAAATCTTACCCTTTGGGACAGCATGGATGAACCTGGACAGTATTATGCTAAGTGAAATAAGCCAGTCAGAGAAAGACATATACTATATAATCACCATATGATTTCACTCATATGTGGAATCTAATGAACAAAATAAACAAAATAGAACAGACTCATAGAAACAGAGGAGAGACTGACAGCTGTTAGATGAGAGGGAGTTTGAGGGACTGGGTGAAAAAGTTGAAGGGATTAAGCAAAAAAATAAGAAGAAAAAAGAAAACCTCATAAACACAGACACCAGTATGGTGATTACCAGCAGAAAAAGGGAGCGGGGGAAGTAGAAGAGGGTAAAGAGGAAAGAAATTGTGACAGAAGGAGACTTGATTTGGAGTGGAGAAAACACCGAACAATGTACAGATGATGTATTATAGAATTGTACAGCTGAAACCTATATAATTTTATTAACCAAAGTCATGCCAGTAAAATAAATTTTTTCAAAAAGAAAAAGTTTTCAAAGATGTATGTTAGAGAAGAAAATATGTAAAACTGGGCATTTTGTGGGGATAGCGGAAAAATACTTATACTAACATAATATCAAATTATAAGTATTCCTGAAAATTTCTACTAAATAAGCATAAACTTCTAATAATACATTTGGTTTATAACTGAAAAAAAAATTTCTTAATTTTCACTGAAATTTGTACTTCTTTATATTTTGAATGTAGGAAGCTAACCATACTAGTATTAGCAATACATGAGACTTTGTCTTTAACAGATATGCATATTTATATCACAACTACTGCATATATCTCAAAATACTGTTCATACTTATTAATACTTAGAATATATAGTAGTTTTTAGACCTGCGGCTAGCTCTTTTTATTTAATTCATTAATAAAGAAACATATAACTTTAATATTTTTATAACTATAATTCAATGTAATTGAATAGCTTAACACAAGCATTTTTTAAAATCTCTGAGAAATCTTAATCATCTTCAAAAGCATGTTTTTATGCTTTTATAAAAAGCATATATGTAAAAAATAAAAATAAGAAATTAAACTAAAATATATATTTTACACATATATTAATACAGATTGGAAGCAAAAGGTATTAAGCAACAGGAAATCTGTCACTTGCAGAATAGACTTCTTTCTCCTATGGTTTCTCACCTCAGTCAAATGTTTGCTTTAGTCCTGTCCGCTCATTCTCCCTCTATTCAGACAATAATTTTTAAATCTTTTTTACCCCACTACACACTTTAAATACACTCAAGTTTTATACTAAAAATAAATACCATGTGCAAATATTTCCTTAAAACTCAAACTAAAGATGCTTAAATTTCTGGTCTTTTCAGATTCAAATTTGAGCCCTCTGGAATGTCAGTTTTGTCATCTATAAAACAGGGATAATTGTATTGGTCCTGTGCAGGCTGCTATGCAGGATTAATGAGAAAATGGCTGTATATAAACTTTGAAAGGTTCTACTATCAACTTTACTTTCTTTTTTAAACATTATTCACTGGGAAAATACACCCATATAGATTTCCAGAAATTACGGCTTACCGTAGAACATTCCTCAGAAGATAAAAGAATTCTAACTGAACTAAAAGAGTATTCTTGTGATCCATTATAACAATTCAATCAGCAAATATTTATGGAATTTTATGTAAATTTTTATCACATCTCTAAGTTAGTTCATATCTGTTGAGGTTGTCATACTTTTCTATCTATACTAGATTATTATCTAGATATGCTAAAAGCTTTTTTTAAATAAACTAAAAATTCCTAAAAATATTAGCTGTCCATGAGACTAAATAATTCTAACTAAACAGAATAAGCAACCTATGTGACTTAATATTCAGGTCTCATGGGCATTGAAGGCCTAAGTAATAATATAATGCAGGCTACTACTGCTGACTTTGATAATCTTCCTTTTTAAATAATTCTTATCCAGTTATACCCAAAAAGCCCAGTACTGTCATGTATGCAAACCAATTTCTCTCAAGATGTGTAATGCTTTGGTGTATGTAATCGAATAAAGCCAATGATAATAATAATGTCTAAGTTCTATTAGAGTTTAATGTATCAGGGCCTTTGTAAAAAGCTTTGCATTTATTATGTATTTAATCCTCACAAATACAGGTACTTTTATTATCCCCATGTTAAAGAAGAAAAACCAATCAATTCTCAGTTTTAAATAATTCCGAAAAATAAAAGATGGTTAACAAATATCGGTTACAGGAACCCACCTACCAGTTTTTCATAGGATTTGCATTTGGTTGTAGCATTTCAAATAACATGAAAATTATTATTTCTTTATAACCTAAATATTTTTTATAGCCTACAGTCAACTTGATAATCACTGCATCCTTTTTTTTTTTAAATCCTCACCAGAAGATATTTTCATTGATTTTAGTGAGAAAGGAAGGGAGGGAGTGAGGGTCAGAGGGCAGGAGAGAAGTGGATAGAGAGAGAAAGAAAGAGGGAGGGAGAAAAACATCAATGTGAAAGAGAAACCAATCAGTTTTCTCCATTATGCGCCCCAACCTGGGACTGAACCTACAACCCAGGTATATGCCCAGGCCAGGAATCTATCCCTCAGTTTATTCACTTCTAAAATGAAGGTAATGCCTACCTCAAGTTATGAGAAGTAAATAGTATAATGCATGTAAGATAATTAACATTATACCTGGCACACAGTAAAAGCTTAATACATTACAGCTATTAATAACATCATATAGTAAGAAATGAAATATGTAACAAAGCTATAAAAGACTTTTAGAGTTTCATTTTAGTTCTACTTTAATATTAGAGTACACAGTATCTTTTTAAAAAATTCTCCCAAATTACAATGTGTTACCTGTAAGTAGTGTTTGGAACGTAGACATCCCTGGCAGGAAACTCCAAAATTTCTCTGGTAGGTCGAACTCTACTGTCAGGGTAAAGCTTCACCTGAAGAAGCTCTGGGGTCAGGCAATAATGAGGATTTTCAGGTGCTGGAGAAATGTCTATCTTTAACTGAGCTGCATATAAAAACACATAAAAACAATGTAAACATAATAAATAAAAACTTCATGTTAGAAATGTTTTGGGAAGAATATAGATCCTATTTTTGAAAGAAGTCTAGAAGAAACCAAAATTACTATCATCTCAGAACTCAAAATTACTTCATTTTAGAAAGTCTCAAAGGTATCAATTACTGAGAATACATAAGTACTTATAATATATTGAATGAATGAAAGAATGAATGAATAAGGAGGAAGAAGCAAAATGGGGGAAAAAAGAACAGAAATCGAACACAGAAACAAGCCAAGATTTCAAAGGTTAAATATTTTATTTAAACTTGATAAGCTTAAAAATGGTTTTATTCTGGTCATAATATGAATCAATTTCTAAATTTTACCATTTTCTGTACTATTTGTTTAAGCCATGATATTATTCATCGTTCTCATTTTAGTACCCAAATCACCAAAGGTTCTGAATCCTGCATCCAAACTCTTAGACCACATGAGAGCAGAATGAGATGAAGACTGACAAGCCCTGAGCACAGACACATGGGCCAGATACACGAAAAATGGAATACTTAATTACAAACAACACAGTATATTTGTGGTGATAACAGTTATTATCATTTCTACTCAAAATTTTACAATACCTGTAATTGGTCTTAGTCTTCGTAAAACAGAAGATGGCCTTCTCATATCAGCAAGAAATTTGTACAGATCTTCATCACTTAAGCGATCTCCTTCCTGATTTTAAAAACAAGGAAAATTATTTAATAAAATAAATACAGTAGATTAAAAATATTGCCTGTTAATAATCTTGCCCTTCTTCCTTCAATTTAGTAAGCATACAAGTAAATATAATCATGATTAAAAGCTCATCTGCTGATTTATTTCCCTTTCTATGCTTTCAATTTTATTACATGATGATACAACTATTTTTAAATTTTATATATTTATTTATAGCTCATTATGTCTAAAAGATATTACAGGACACTAAAATATTGGAAATCGATACAAGTTGGAGGTACATGAAAAAAGATAGAAAATATCCCTGGCTGGCGTAGCTCAGTGGATTGAGCGCGGGCTGCGAACCAAAGCATCGCAGGTTCAATTCCCAGTCAGGGCACATGCCTGGGTTGCAGGCCATGGCCCCCAGCAACCACACATTGATGTTTCTCTCTCTCTTTTCTCCCTCCCTTCCCTCTCTAAAAATAAATAAATAAAATCTTAAAAAAATATAAAAAATAAGAATATAGACATAAAACAGACATGACAACCTTATAAATTTATTACACTTGAGTTTATATTTGTCTTTTCAACTTTAAATCACTAAATTTCTCAAATACAAAATATATAGCATTGAGTAACTTTGAAAAAGGAAAGAAATGACAATAAAACTACTCTTGAAGAAAAGTAAAACTATCCTGATACTAAGATCAGAAAGAAAACTCTGAACCTCAGTCATGGGAAAACAGACAAACAAAACCAAACCATATTTAATTAATACAAAATTTTCAATTTAATATAATTTTTTGCAATTAAATTAGGTTAAGGAGTGATTTTATTCTTTTATTCATGAGTTAGTGTTTAGATTTTATTAATCCAAACCTCCTGCGTTTGATATCTTAGTGATTTTAATGCATCATTTATATATTGTCTTTTTATCTTTAGTAATAAATATATTTAAGGCTACTTTATTACTGTGAGTTCATCCTGAGCAATATCCTACTTGCTCACTATTGTATTTTGAACAAGGTACAGAATTAATCATCTTCTATCCTATTGTCTAGAAAAGTGATTTTTGCCCTGGCTGGCGTAGCTCAGTGGATTGAGCGCGGGCTGGGAACCAAAGTGTCCCAGGTTCGATTCCCAGCCAGGGTACATTCCTGGGTTGCAGGCCATAACCCCCAGCAACCGCACATTGATGTTTCTCTCTCTCTCTCTCTCTCTCCCTTCCTTCCTTCCCTAAAAATAAATAAATAAAATCTTAAAAAAGAAAAAAGAAAAAGAAAAGTGATTTTTAATTTTTAACAGGCTGGAGATTTTTGTTAATACTTTTATAAATAGTTTTTAGTTTTATTAAGTTATATTTAGCAAATTTGACTTTATGAATATTTTTTCAGTGACCTAATATATAATTATTATAAATGTTCCAATGTTCCATCAGTTGCTCAAACAGTATATTCTTTCCTCTAGAATACAGAATATAGATCTTTAAATGGTCCTTATCTATAATATATTAAGATTATCTCTAGATTCAGATATTTCTGTCTATTTAACCTGTTAAACTGAGTATATCATTGACCTCCATTCTTTACTCCCTGTTTCCATACCTTTTCTTAGGTGGGACATTAATTGCCTCCCCGGGTGTGGCCATGTGACTTGCTTTGGCCAATAAACAAAGGTGGTGCAAAAACTTGAAAAATATTTACACAAGTGAGCTTGCCCTCCCTCTTGAACTTCTGCTACTGCTATGAGAACATGACCAAGTAAGCCTACTAGATGGTGAGAATACAAGTTGAGAAACATGGGAGAGGTCTGAGTCATTTTTGTCTTCCCAGCAGAAGTCAGTCTAGATCAGCTGACCACAGTCAATCAACTTCAAACATGTGAATGGGCCTAGCTGACAACCCCTTCTCCACACTGCATGTTTACTGTTGTATACTCCTGAAGCAACAGATAACTTATACATATTTCAATAAATACAACTAATGTCATTAAAACTGATGTGTTTTATTTTAAAATCTCCATGTATTTCCATAATTTTAGCTTGTCACATTTAAAATCAGTACAAAAACGCTGACTACTATATCCCAATCATGGACAGTAATTGCTCATCAATTAAACAAAAACAACTGCTCTCTGTATCTCATTTAGGAGAAACTTGTACCTTAAATTCTACTTTTTAAAAATTATAATCCCTGCTTATTACTTAATTTGTATTTGCCTGATATAGAATATTCTAGCTATTTAAAAAATATAAAAATTGTACACAGTAATAGTTAAAAAAAATTAGAGCTCTAAAAAGTCAGGTGTTAATGTTGTGTCCAGCAGTCATTCATTTTCTTTTCACAGTCACTTTGCACTAGTTTCTAGTTACCGGTCTCCAGTACATGGTGAATTTTCAAAAAGTATTTGTTGGATAAAATAGGTAGGTGGGTAAACTGAGGCTCAGTACATAATGAATGCTCAAAAAATATACATTTTGAATAAATAGGTGGGTAAGGTAGATGGATAACTTGTTGATTTGAGCTTCCAATACCAGTTCAATGATAAAGCAGCTAAAGAAATGAAAAAAGAGCTGTGGAAATAGCAGAAGTGATGAAACAGCTGAAGAAGTACGAAAGAGAGAAATGTCAAAGCTGCAAGGTTATGTCTTTATATATACCCAGTAAATCTACAGTTCTGTTTCCATAGCTTTACTTGGCTATCACTTCATCCAAGTAACACTGGCATTTTCTAGATTCTTTCTTATACTACAATAAAAAATAAAGAGACCCTTACCACTTTAGACACTTCTTACCTGCTTTATTTTCCATTTCAGTCTCTGAGAGCAGCTCCCTATGAATGCTATTGATACAGAACTGTGAAAGGGGCCTCAAGAGGATTGCTATCTGTCAATTTGTGGCACGTCCTGCCCTAAAATATTGCCCTCTCAAGTTACAAGGTGTCAGCAGAGAGCATTTCTTCCCGTTTTTTAGAATAATATCTCGAAAGAAGGAATCTTGAGACAGTATTTAGCATTTTCCTTTAATCTGCTCCAAAACACATGCAAGGTACTTCTCCAGTTTGTCATGCTAATCCAAATGTTTTTCCATTCTTATATGGCCTGGTCATCTGGTTATGTAACACAAAGACTTTAAAAATTTTCTGATCTTGGTTCACAGTATAAAATTTATTTTACATCAAAATCCAGTATGCACATACACCTACCAAAACTTAGAAGGAATTAAGCTCATTGAAGCACTATTATTCCTATCCTACTGGGTATTTTTTTTAAAGCTGGGTATTACATACTAAATTTTCATACCATTAAAGGATCATGACCAGCATTCATTTGAAAAATACTGACTTTACTCATGATTTGAAGTGTAGCAAACACACTTGCAAAGAATTAAATATCTTTAAGAACTTCTTGGACTTATAAATTCACCTGTAAAAATAGCAAGGGCATGCTAGCACAGAGATGTACCCCTGTGACCTGAAAGTTCTATTCAATGTACTATGGATGTGAAAGGTTAGGAGGGTTGGGTTGGGAGGACAGATATAACCACACAATCACTCTAAGAAAATCCATAAACTATCAGTGTTTAAGAAAAGTTAAAACATTACAATTAAGAAATAGAATATAAATGTGGATTGATTCTGGTGCATTATTAATCGATGTCAACATTTAAATATAATGATATAACAGGTAGGTAACTTATTTTTTATTTTTATAAGTTTATTCTTTTTATTTTTTACAATTCCTTGCAATCACAATCATATTTACATGTACTACATGTGCATATACAATCGTAATTTTTCAGAAACCAAAAGAAATTTACAGATAAATAGCCCCCTAGAATTCCTACATGACAGAACAATACCTGCTTAAAAAAATTCGTCACTGTAAGGGTAGCAGGTCGAAAGCTGGTCAAGTTACAAGCATCATCTCCACTTGTTGTCCTTTCAAGTGATCGTCTGCCAACAATACTAGAATTTCTCCTCTCTGACCAAGACCCTTTTCGTTCTACCAAGGAAAAAAAGGTAAGATTTTCATTTTTATAATATTTAAAATATGTTTTAAAATACTTTCCAAACACAGGGAAAAATTCATTGAGGTTGAAAAATGACCACTTAGCATATTGATTATGATTGAAGAATTTCACTTCTCAAGTGATTGGTAAAGAAACATTACACCTAAATCTTCTGATTCTTTTTTAAATTCTCCAATCTAAAAAAGAGTCACCCACACAAAGATTATGCATATGACCAACAATGAGCTATGAAGAACAGCTATAGGGAAACCTTGTATTTTCTAGGAAATAATCAACACAATAAACATTTTAGTCACTATATATGGTCTCCTCAGTCTTAGCACTTGAATTTGAAACAGAATTTTAACATAACTTTAATTCATTCAGAATTTTTACAAGATAACCCTACCATTCAAACCTAAAAGAATTATGTTGAAGATCAACAAGGAAACATTAGACTTAAACAAAATTATAAACAAACTAGACCTAACAGACAGCTATAATATACTCCACTAAGAAAAGGTAGAATACACATTCTTCTCAAGCACACACAGGACATTCTCCAAGACAGATTATATATATGGGCATACCTCATTTTATTGTACTTTGCTTCACTGAGCTATGCAGATATTGCATTTTCACATATTGAAGATTTTTGGCAACCCTGCATTAAGGAAGTCTATTAGCACCATTTTTTAACAGCATTTGCTCAGTCTGTCTCTGTGTTACATTTTGGTAATTCTCACAATACTTGAAATGTTTTCATTGTTATTAAATTTGTTATGGTGATCTGTTACCAATGATCTCTGATGTTACTACTGTAAGTGTTTTAGGGCACCACAAACTACAAGCATATAAGATGGCAAACTGAGTAAATGTGTGTTCTGACTGCTCCACTGGGAGGTTGTTTCCTTATCGCTCTCTCCTCAGGCCTCCCAATTCCCTGAGACACAATACTAAAATTGGCCAAATAATAACCCTACAATGCCTTTTAAGTATTCAAGTGAAAGGAAGAGTCACATGTCTCTCAATTTAAATCAAAAGCTAGAAATGATTATGCTTAATGAGGAAGGCATGTTGAAAGCTAAGATATGCTGATACCTAGGCCTCTTGTGCCAAAGAGTTGTCCAAGTTATGAATGCAAAGGAAAAGTTCTTGAAGGAAATTAAAAATGCTACTCCAGTGAAGACACAAAAGATAAGAAAGTGAAAGAGACTTATTGTTGATATGGAGAAAGTTTCAGTGGTCTGAATAAAACTAGCCACAATGGTTTAAGGAAAGAAGCCATCTCCATAACATAAAAATGCAAGGTGAGGCAGCAAGTGCTGATGTAGAAGTTGCAGCAAATTATCCAGAAGATCTAGCTAAGATAATTAATGTAGGCAGCTTCACTAAATAAATTTTTAATATAGATAAAATAGCCTTATTTTAGAAGAAGATGCTATCTAGAACTTTTATAGCTAGAGAGGAGAACATACCTACTTCAAAGCCTCAAAAGCTGACTCTCCTGTTGAAAGCTAATGCAGTCAGTAATTTTAAGGTGAACCCAAACGCTCATTTACCATTCCAAAAATCCTAGGGCCCATAATAGCTATGTGAAATCTACTCAATCAGTGCTCTATGAATAGAAAAACAAAGGCTGAATGATAGTACATCTCTCTACAACATGATTTACTGAATATTTTAAACACACTGTTACGACTCACTGCCCAGAAAAAAAGATCCCTTTGAAAATATTACTGCTCGTTGACAATGTACCTGGTCACCCAAGAGCTCTACTGAAGATGTACAACAGCATTAATGTTATTTTCATGCATGCTAACACAACATCCATTCTGTAGCTCATGGATCAAGGAGTAATTTCAACTTTCAAGTGTTATTGTTTAAGAAACACATTTTGGGGACTTCCATTCAGGATGGCAACGTGGGTAAACACAGCTTACCTCATCACACAACCACGTCAAATTTACAACAAACCACAGAACAACCATTGTTCAGAACTGCCAGAAATGAAGCTAAATGGAAGTCCTAAATTACAGAATTAAAGAAGAAACCACATAGAGTCTGGTATTAGGGCAGAGATGTGGAACAGCTGGTCCCACACCCATGGGAGGTGGATTAAAAATTGAGAGGGGTATCTTGGGAGCAGGGGGTTCCAGCCCCACAACAGTCCCCACCCCAGCCCAGGGCTCCAGCCCCACAACAGTCCCCGCCCCAGCCCAGGGCTCCAGTGCCAGGAAGATAAGTCCCCATAACTTCTGGCTATAAAAACCAGCGGGGATTGAGGCTGTGGAAGACAGAAACTTCTAGAGTCCCAGGCAGTTCCTCTTAGAGGGCCCAGACACAGACTTACTTGTACTCACTACCTCTGAGATCCAATGCAAGGGCAGTGGCTTTAATGACACTAGAGGCATACAGGGAAGAACTGAAGTGTCTAGCATTAGGGTGAGAGCTGGGGGACACCTTTCTCCTAGACAGAAGTGCTGACTGAAGCATTGTTCCCTTCCTGAGCCCTTCCCCACAAAGTGGGTGGGCTGGTGTCATACCTGAGACTCCATCAACGTGGCTCACACTGTTTGCACCATTCTGGTGACACCCTGAGGCTCCATCCCACCCAAATTTCGGGCCCAAGCTGTTTCCAGTGGCTTTTCCATATGAATGGCTTGTCTTGGCTCTTACTTCAGATTTTCCTAAATTCTCTCAGACAAGCAGCATCTGGCATCAGTGTGCCCTGTGTTTATTGTTAATTGGCCCCAGGCCTGGCACTAGCAGCAGCTGGCCTTGGTTTATAACTTGGCCTCTCTTGGGCACCCCTAAGTCCAGCCAATAGCAGCCAGTAGCAGATGGCTTTGTAGCTTATGCCAGGTGACCTCAGACAGAACACAGGTTGTGGCTGACCTTGGCTTACAACTCTAGGGAGGCCCCAGAGTCTACGTACCCAGCAGACAGCTACAGACCATGTTGGAGCACCATCACCCAACCAAGAATACACTAACTAAAATGAAGAATAATTGACAAGGAATCAATAGTAAATGATTCTTGAAATCATCTACTAAAGTCAAGAATCAAGTCAGCAATTTAGAACACAAGGAAGCAAAAAATATAGAATCAGAACAATAAGAAAAAAGAATCCAAAAAAAATGAGGAGAGTGTAAGGAGCCTCTGGGACAACTTCAAGTGTACCAACATTCACATACTGGGGGTGCCAAAATGAAAAGAGAAAGAACAAGAAATTGAAAACCTATTTGAAAAAATGACAGAAAACATCCCTAACATGATGAAGGAAATAGACATACAAGTCCAAGAAGTGCAGAGAATTCCAAACAAGATGAACCTAAAGAGGCCCACACCAATACACACAATAATTAAAATGCCAAAGGTTAAAGACAAAAAGAGAATCTTAAAAGCAGCAAGAGAAAAGAAGTTAGTTACCTACAAGGGAGCTCCCATAAGATGGTCAGCTGATTTCTCAAAAGAAACTTTGCAGGCAAGAAGGGATGCAAAAAATATTCAAAGTAATGAAAAGCAAGGACCTACAACTAAGATTACTCTACACAACAAAGCTATCATTTAGAATTGAAGGACAGATAAAGAGCTTCCCAGACAAGAAAAAGCTAAAGAAGTTCATCACCACCAAACCAGTATTATATGAAATGTTTAAGGGTCTTCTTTAAGAAGATAAAAATATGAACAATAAAATGGCAATATATATATGTAAATCTAAAAAACAAAATAAACAGCAAAACAGAAATATTAATAGATATAGAGACCCTATTGATGGTTGCCAGATGGGAGGAGGGTTGGAGGATGGGGTAAAAGGGTGAAGGGATTAAGAAGAACAAATTGGTTGTTACAGAATAGTCATAGAGATGTAAAGTACAGCATAGGGATTAGAGTGGCTAAAGAACATATATGTATGACCCATGGACAGGGACTACGATGTGGGGATTTCCTGAGGGAGTGCTGGTTCTGGGTGGAGGGGGGCAACAGGGAAAAAATTGGACAACTCTAATAACACAATCGATAAAATAGAATTTAAATTAAAAATATATTTCATAAGGATACAGCTGCCATAGTGATTCCTCTGATGAATCTGGACAAGTAAATTGAAAACTTTCTGGATATGATTAGCCATTCTAGATGCCACTAAGAACATTTGTGATTCATTAGAAGAGTTCAAAATACCAACATTAACAGGAGTTTGGAAAAACTTAATTCCAACTCTCATGGGTGACTTTGAGGGGTTGAAAACTTCAGTGGAGGAAGTAACTGCAGATGTAGCAGAAATAGCAAGAGAACTAGATTTAGAAGTGCAACCTGTAGAAGTGACTAAGTTGTTGCATTCTCATAATAAAACTTTAATAGATGAGGAGTGGCTTCTTATGAATGAGCAAAGGGAGTGTTTCTGTACATGGAATCTACTCCTGATGAAGATGTTGTGAAGACTGTTGAAATGACAACAAAGGGTTTAAAATATTAGATAAATCTGGACAAATAAAGCAGCAGCAGGATTTGAGAGAATGACTTCAATTTTGAAATAAGTTCTACTATAGGTAAAATGCTATCAAACAGTATCATATGCTATAAAGAAATCATTTGTAAAAGGAAGAGCCAATTGATGCTGCAAACCTCATTGCTATCATATTTTTGGAAGTTGCCACAGACACCTAACCCCCACCCTGATCAGTCAGCAGTCATCGACACTGAGGCAAGACTCTCCACCAGCAAAAAGATTACAATGCACTGAAGGCTCACAAGCTAGTTAGCATTTTTTAGCAAGAAAGTATTTTTAATTAAGTTATGTATATTGTTTTTTTAGACATATGTTATTTCATACTTAAAAGACTACAATATAGTATAAACATAACTTTTACATGCATGGGAAACCAAATAATTTGAGTCACTTGCTTTTTTGAGTTATTTGCTTTACTGAAGTAGTCTGGAACGGAGCTTGAAATATCTCCAAGGTATGCCTGCACTAGCCCTAAAACAAAGGCAATACGTTCAAAAGGACTGAGATCATATAAAATATGTTCTCAAAGCATAGCAGAATTAACCTATAAATCAGTAACAACACAAAATTTGGGAACTTCATAAACATGTAGAATTTAAACAGCACACTCTTGAATAACTAATGGGTCAAAGAGGAAAAATCAAGGGAAATGAGAAAATACTTAAGATTTATGAAAGCAAAACATACCAAAACATATAGAATATCACTAAAGTAATGCTCAGAGGGAAATTTATATCTATAAATGTGTATTTCTTTAAAAGATCACAAATCGGTAACTTAATTTTGCATCTTAAAAAACTAAAACAAGAAGAGAAAACTAAACTCAAAGCAAGCATTAGAAAACATACAAAATTAAAAAGATAATGGCTGAGTGGAAATAAATGAAATAAAAACTAAAAAAAAAAAACAGGAAAAAAGCAATAAACTAAAAATCTGGTTTCTTCAAAAAGATTAAACTTTAAAAACTTCCGCTAAACTGATGAAGAAAAAATAGAAAAGATTCAAATTACTAAAATCAGGAATGAAAGAGGGATACCACTACAAACCTTAAGAGAAAAAGAAATTCCAATAATATAAATACTTATAGGTTACCAGTTATATAACAATTAGATAATTTAGATGAAATGAACAAATTTCTAGAAAGATACATAGTACTGCAAATGACTCCTGATGAAAGAGAAAATATAAATAGAGCTAAAACAAGTAAAGAGATCTAATTAGTAATAAAAACATTTACCATAAAGAAAAGTTGCCCTGGCTGGTGTGGCTCAGTGGATTGAGCACTGGCCAAAGGGTCGCCAGTTCCATTCCCAGTCAGGGCACATGCCTGGCTCATGGGCCAGGTCTCCAGAAGAGGGCATGTGAGAGGCAACCACACATTGATGATTCTCACCCTCTCTCCCTCTCTTCCCTTCTGTCTAAAAATAAATAAATAAAACCTTGAAAGAAAGAAAGAAGAGAGAGAGAGAGAGAAGCCAAGACGGCTTCACTAATGAATTCTTCTAAATTTTCAAAGTAGAATTAATACCAAGCCTACAAGACAAGAAACAATTCACAACTCTTTCTATGACGTCAGTATTTACCAAAAGCAGAGGCATCACAAGAAAGATGTCTTATGAATAAAGTATATAAACATTGAATTATACACTTTAAATAGGTGAACTCTATGCCATGTGAATTACAGCTCAATAAAGTGGTTAAAGTTTTTAAAAAGACAAAAAAAAGGAAACTCTTTTTATGCCTCATCACATTGTGAAGTCTACAAATAAAACAAGCTTATGTAAGAATAAAGAAAAAATTATATATTTAGAAATATTTTTTATAAAACTCTCTTACCTCCAGTGTTTATTTCTACCTCTGTAGAATCTCTTTCCAAACTCCCAGCACTGCTAACAATATTCATTAAATGGATCGCGGTCCAAGCAAAAGGCATGCGATATTTTCCAAGTCTTTGGCAAAACTGTTCAGCTTGACTTTTCAACTTCTCCAATTTTTCCTTATTCTGCAAAATAAAACTTTATACATTATATGATTATGCTCAAAAGAAATGAATTAACAGCTATTTTATAATAAATAAAGAGACAGATTAAGAATCCTCAATTCTTGCCCTAACTGGTCTAGCTCAGTTGCTTTGGCCCCATCCCACAAAGCAAAAGCACACCAGTTCGATTCTCAGGGTTTGCGGGTTCAGTCATTGTTTCTCTCTAACATCGATATTTCTCTCCCCTCTCTTTGCCCCTCGCTTCCCCTTTCTATAAATAAATAAATAAATAAATAAATAAATAAATAAATAAATAAATAAATCTGAATTATCAGCAAAGATGGAAGAACAATGTTTACCTTTCAGAGACTCTCTCTTTCTCTTTCTCTCCCTGCCCACACCCCACTCCCCCTCTCTCTCCCTTTTTCTCTAAAATCATTGGAAATATCCTCAGGTGAGGACTAAAAAAATAAAATAAAATAAAAAGTAAAAAAGAAGTAAGCAAAAAAAGTATTATAAGAGGGCTAAATCCTACAAAAAGACTAGTGATCCAAATAGACATCCTGAAAGGCATCCTGAGGCTGACAACTTTGAGGTTATTCCTGAAACAAATGCTAAGTTGGCCTGCAGTAGCCAACCAATGGTCCAAGAGTGAAAATCTACACCAAATAAATCACATATTCTTTCCAAACAGTATGTCTGTTAGTGAGGCATACTGTAATGACAGTGTCCTACCTTAATGTCAGGGCTGGGAAAGATGGAAGGATAGCTAAATGGCAGTACTTTTATTGCTATATCTATTGTACCTTAAAAATAGGTTCTTGCTTTAAGAGCCTACATATCAAGTATACTTAATTCTATCAGCTTATGTAAATATGTAAGAGAAGTGTGGAATAAGCTGCTATTATACCTAAAAGCTCCATGTAACATAGCAAATTTCATTGTAAAATGACAACCTGGGAAAGCCAGAATACTTTAACTCTGCTTTCAACCAGACAACTATGGATCACAGAAGATTATCATGTGCTCAGATCTACCTATAATAGCAGAAAAGGCTCAGTTCTTGTTCTGCATCTCAGAAAAAGAGAAAGCAAAACATTTTCAGGATTGTTAAGTATTCCTCAACCATACCTCCCCTGGATGTTTCAAATATTAAATTACATGTTCAAAGATCCAAGATCAATTGTTATTCCTACAGCTAACTCAAGGTATCTAGAATTTGGTACCTATTGTTGACCAATTATTTTTGCTTTAGAAATTTATCCAAATTCTAGAAGTTAGTCACTTGATGGCAAAACAGAGGCTATACTTTCTGTTTTTACCATATTCTTTTTTTAATTGTATATTTTTCCATTACCATTTATCCCCCCTTTACCCTCTTCCACCTCCACTCACCCCCACAGCCAAACATAAGCTTAGAATATTTGTTTTGCTAGTAAAGTTCCATGAATATCACTATTCTGTAAATTTAAAAATAATAATTATTTAGGAATTAAACTGAATTAACTTTGTTAACTTCTCTATGAAAAAAATACTTTAAAGAAACAATTAGTATTTGGTGAGGGAGATTTTAAGGAACAACATAGCGCATGACAAAAGCTAGATAACAAAGCAAATAAAGAACTCAAGTAAGTAGGTCAGTAGAAAAAATGAATTAGTTAAATTCTTTAACATGCTTTATATAGAAGTTTCCTAAATTATAATTTGGGAGATTAGAGGTTATTTAGGGTTGGATTTGCAGATTTGAGGGAAATGGAAGTGACTAACAATGAATACAAAAATTGGTGAAATGAGAAGCATTACATTCTATACCTTAGTTGCATCTGCTTCTTTAAAAATCATGTATGGTTCTGCACACTCTCCAATGTCTCCTTGCTGCAGGACTTTTTCTAGCTGTCGAAAGTAAAAATTAAAAATTCATTAAAATTTTTAAGAAAGCTATCAGCATGGAATACATGGATGGTTCAACATATAAAACTTAATATAATAAACCATATTAAGAGAATGACAGAAAAAAACACATGATCATCCCAATTAATACAGGAAAAGCACTGGACTAAATTCAGTAACCTTTCATGAAAGAAACTCAACAAATCAGGAACTGATGAAAGCTACCTCAATATAATCAAGGCCATATATGCAAAGCTCACAGATAACACCATACTCAGTGGTAAAAGACTGAAAGCTCTTCCTCTAAGGTCAGAAACAAAGAAAAGATGCTCACTTTTGCCAACTCTATCCCACAGAGTAACTGGAAGTCTGAGTCAGAGAATTTAAGCAAGAAAAAACAACAAAACACATTCAAACTGAGGAAAAAGAAGTAAAATTATGTGTTTGCAGACAACATAATCTTTTTTACAAAAAGCCCTAATATTCTGCACACACACACATACACACAAAAGAAAAAGCCTTTTGAACTAATAGATGAATTCAGAAAAGCATCAGGATACAAACATTCAAAAATCAATTGCATTTCTATATACTAACAATGAGCAATTCAAAAAGGAAATTAGGAAAATGATTTCATCTACATACTATCAAAAAGAATAAAATATTGAGGAATTAACCAAGAAGATGAAAGATTTCTATTCTGAAAAATATAAAGTGGTGGTAAAAAAATTACAGAAAACACAAATAAATAGCAAGATATACTATATTCATGAATTGGAAGACTTAATATAGTTAAGATGTCAATACTACACAATCTATAGATTTAATCAAATTCCCAATAATGTGGTTTTTTATTTGCAGAAATAGAAAAATATATCTCCAAATTCATATAAAATCTCCAAAGACATTTACTAGTCAAAGAAAACTGGAAAAAAAAATAATAAAGTTGGAAGCCAGAAGCCTTATACTTCTTGATTTCAAAATGATATACAGCCCTGGCTGGTGTGACTCAGTTGCACTGTTGTCCTGTGAACCAAAAGGTTGCAGGGTTAATCCATAGGCAGGGCACTCATCCAGATTGCGTGTTCAGTACCCAGTCAGGATGTGTATGGGAGGCAACTGATATTTCTCTCTCACATCAATGTTTCTCTCCCTCTCCCTTCCTCTCTCTCTAAAATCAATGAAAGTATGTCCTCAGGTGAGGATAAAAAAATTAATATAAAGCTGCAGTAATTAAAAGAGCATGGTACTGACATAAACATACACATATAGTTCAATGAGGCAGAATAGAGCCCAGAAATAAACTCTTGTATATATAGTTAAATAATTTTCAACAAAGGTGCCAAGACCATTTATTAAGGAAAAAACAGTCTTTTCAACAAATGGTGTTAAAAAAACTGAATATCCAAATGCAAAAGATAAAATTAGACCTCATATCATATACAAAAATTCACTCAAAATGGATCAAATACCTAATCATAGACCTAACACTATAAATTATTAGATGAAAAAATAGAGGAAAAGTTTCGTGATAATGTTTTCTTAGATTCAAGACAAAATAGCACAGACATATAAATATAAAGTGAAACTAGATATACTGGACTACATCAAATATTAAAATTTTTGTGCATCATGGGACACAATCAACAGGGCAAAAAGACAACTTAAGAAATGAGAGAAATCGCGTATCTGATAAGTTAATATCCAAAATAAATTATTTAAAGTCCTAGGACTCAAGAAAAAACAACAATAATCTGATTATTAAATGGGCAAAGAACTTGAGTGAACATTTCTCCAAGGAAGCTATACAAATGGCCAACAAGCATATGAAAAGATTCTCAAATCACTAATCATCAGGAAAATGTAAATCAAAACCACAAAAATATCACCTTACACCTATCATAAACAACTATCAAAAATAACAAATATTGGTGAGGACATGGAAAACCTGGAACCATTGGCCACTACTGGTGAAAATGTAAAATGGTATATCCACTATAGAAAACAGTATAAAGGTCCTCAAAAATTAAAAATAGAACTACCATTCAATTCAGGAAATCTATTTCTGGGTGTATACCCAATAGAATTGAAAGCAGGGACACAAAGAGATATTTAAAAAGCTATGATAGAGAGCAGGATGACAGCTAGAGGGGGAGGCTAGGGAGTGGACAAGATTGAACCAAAAGGAAAAAGCACTCATGAACATGGACAACAGTATGGAGATTGCTCAGGAAAGGGAAGTATTGGAGACTAAATGGTAATGGAAAAAAATGCAACAAAGATTAAATTAAAAAAATAAATAAAGACTACCAAAAAAAAAAATGTCTCTCCTACTCCTACCCACCAAACAAATCCAAAATCATTGGAGAACTTTGTATAGTAAATGTAGCTTAATAAAAATATTACATTGTGCATCTAATAACAGAAAGTAAAAATTATTTACTGAAAAATAAAAAAAATAAAAAGCTATGTTCATAGCAGCAACGGTCGCAATAGCCAAAGAAAGAAGCAATCCAAATGTATACTGAGATATGAGTGGATAAAAAAATGTGGTATACGAGGTCTGTCCAGAAGGTATCCAGCCATGTAATATGAAAAATAAAGGCATTTATTGAAAAAGATACAAGGTACAAGAAACATTGTACATAGGACAATGACACATCAGTCCCCTTCAAAGTAGGCACCTCATACAGTTCTCCCAAACGCCATCAGCTGCCCTGTCTTACTTTCCTGAACCTCATTGATAGTCTGAAATCTCTTCCCTTTCTAAGATGACTTTAGTTTTGGGAAAAGCCAGAAGTCACAGGGTGCCAAATGTGGGCTATAGCGGGGGCTGAATCATATTGGTAATTTGATGATTTGCCAAAAAACTCTGCAGGAGACGGGATGCATGAGCAGGCGTGCTGTCAGTTGCCCATAGCTGCGGCCTTATGAAGCATCTGAATAGTTTCCATGGACAAACATTTGAGCTTAACACAAATGTGATACAGATTCATTGCTCTACTCACTCACTCATTTTGAATGCAAGGGCCACAACAGTAAACATGTTCACTCAAAGGTGTCTACAGCCCCCACTGACTAGTACAGTGAAGTCATCATTGTTTAAGCACATGCACTTCAATCCACTCTCCTTGGCTGCCAGTTTACATAAATGTCCTGAAAACCATTCTCATTATATTAACAATGGCTGGCTTTTTTCCAGACAGATATCATATGTATATACATATATATATAAGGAATATTATTTAGCCTTTTAAAAAGGGAAATTCTAATGCATCCTATAACTTGGATTGATCTTGAAAACATTACGCTAAGAAAATGAGCCAGTGACAAAAAGATAAATATAGTAAGATTCCATTCATATGAGGTACCTAGAGTAGTCAATTCAGAGCAGAACAGTGGTTGGCAGAGTCTGGGAAAAGGAGAAAATGAGTTGTTGTTTAATGTGTATAAAAAGTGGGTTTGGCAAGATGAAAATTTCTAGAGATTGGGTACACAACAATGTGAATACACTTAATATTGAACTGTACATATAATAATGATTAAGTTGAAAAATTTTGTGTATTTTACCACAATTTAAACTATTAATAAAAACAACCAGTCATAAGTTCATCTCTATTTAATATAATATCAAAGAACAAATTTTTTTTTTAAAGATTTTATTTATTTATTTTTAGGGAGGGAAGGGAGGGAGAGAGAGAGAGAAACATCAATGTGTGGTTGCTGGGGGTTATGGCCTGCAACCCAGGAATGTACCCTGGCTGGGAATCGAACCTGGGACACTTTGGTTCCCAGCCCGCGCTCAATCCACTGAGCTACGCCAGCCAGGGCTCAAAGAACAAAATTTAAAAAGACAACTCACAAAATAATATTCTTAAGTGGTCAATACGTTTCTGCTCATCATTTTTCTCCAAATGTCTCACTTTATTCCTATAAAATTTTTAATGTTTTCATAAAATAAATGCAAATAAAATAGAATGAAAGTTCAGAAATCAAAATCCAAGTGTATGTATATAGGAATTTAGCAAATAATAAACTTGATACTTCAAATTAGTTGAATGAAACATAATATATGACCTCCAAGAAATTAATAAAATTTTAAAAATCCAATTAAATGGATATTACACCAGTGTATATGTATCTTTTTTACTTAAAACTTATATACACTTAAAATGTGTGGAATTTAAACCCTTAGCTACAGAGAACATTTTGATGATTGCCAGATGGGTGGGAGTTGAAATGGGTGAAAAAGGGTGATATTAAGATGTATAAAATGCCACTTACAAAAATAGTCACAAGTGCCCTGACTGGGTGGCTCAGTTGGTTGGAGCATCATCTCATACACCAAAATGTTGTGGGTTCAATTCCCAGTCAGGGCACATACCTAGGTTGTAGGTTTGAGCCCTGGTCCCAGGGTGCATACAAGAGGCAACCGATCATTGTTTTTCTTTCATATCGATGTTTCTTTCTCTCTTTCTTCTCTCTCCCTCTTACTCTCCTGCTTCCTCTCTAAAATCAATGAACATATCTCAGGTGAGGATTTACAAAAAAAACAGTCACAAGGATATAAAGTACACATAGGCAATATAGCTGAAAATATTGTAACACTATATATGTTGTCAAATAAGTACAAGACTTATCAGGGTGATCACTTCATTATTTATGTAAATATCTAATCACTATGTTGTATACCTGAAACTGTCACTATATTTGAAAAAAGTTCTTTTTAATTTTTAAAAAATAAAAAAAGAAGCTATTAAGCCCAAGCCAGTGTGGCTTAGTTGGTTGGAACATCATCTTATAAACTGAAAGGTCATGAGTTCGATTCCAGTCAGGGTACATGCTTAGGTTGTGGGTTCAGTCCACAGTCGGGGCTCATGAGAGAGGCAACTGATCAATGTTTCTCTTGCATCAATGTTTCTCTTCCTCTCTCTCTCCCTCCTTTCCCCTCTATCTAAAAATCAATAAGCCTTCAGGTAAGAAAGAAAGGAAAGAAAGAAAAG